CCCTTTGTTCCCTTACACCTATTGGCAGAATCTCACTTGTTCATTCAATCAGAACGAGGTTCTTAACCTAAGGTCCACATGCCACAAAATTCAAGGGTCCATGAGCTTGGATGCAATTTTTTTTCTTTTCAATAACATCTAATTGAAATTTAATTTTGTGAATGTAGAAAATAAATCTTTGTAGTACTGGCAGTACCTTTAATGTTGTCATCAATAGAAATCATCAATTAATATTTTCATATCACATATACAGACATCTCAAACTATCTCAAAATATGAGCTGTTAGACCTGCCAATAAATCATTTTATGTGTTAAGAACCACAGGTATTATATTAATATGGAAGCATATATTACTGGATCATCACACATGTCTTTAAACATTCTGATAACTGTATATTTCATTTATCTATTTACAAAGAGTATTGTCAGACAAGGTCCAAAGGCTTCACCACACTGCCAAAAATGTTCCTAGCACAAATAAGCATGACAACCCCTGATTAGTCATTCATTTAACAAACATGAAGTCCTTACTGGAGCCCTCTCTTGTTCTGGCCCCTCTTCACATTCTGTCGTTGTTTTTTTTTCCTTCTTGTCTGATGCTCTTTCATTGGTTCCACTTCCCATTCTGTTCCCTGCATGAGGATCTAACCCAAAGCTCAATCTTTGGCTCACAACTAAATTCTGTTTCACACTTCCTCCCTTATAAATCTCACCTACCTACGTGACTGATTCAAACACCAATTCAAAGATGACTCCCAAATCAACCTTTCCTAATTTTTTTTCCTCCAGCTTCAATCCTAGATTTTAAACTACCTGCTGTGTCGAGCAACCAGAAAAACAGACCTGTTCCTATTCACAGGCAGACTGCCTGGGGTTCAAATCCCAGCTCTGATCACGTACTAAAAGTGTGACCACAAGTAAATTATCTAACATCTGTTGCTCCAGTTGCTTCATTTGATAAATGGGGGTGATAATAATAGTATCTACTTTATTAGGTTATATGAATTAAGGGTTAACATATGTATAACACTTATGACATTTCAAGTACTCAATAAATGTGAGCTATCACTGGTCTCATCTCCTTTCAACCCCTGACACTTGTATTCGGTGTTTATTAAAAGGTGCAGTGCTAGCCATTGGGAATGTAAAGATAGAATTCTTACCTCATGACATAACATTGATCAAGTCATTGCTCCAAAACTTTCAGTGACTCCCTAGCTGGTCCAAATTAATGGCACTGGAGATCCTTTACAATACTGTCTCAAATAAATTTATCTTCCAGTCTTCTCTCCTCTGACTCTACTTCTTATATATTCACATATACTTTACTCTGGCCAGATTGGACCACACTTCTCTCTGTGAAGATGACCTGGCTGTCCTGCTTCTGTCCTTCCCTCACACCATTCCAATGTCTAAATTATGAACTTGACAGCAATGATTATGTCTTACTACAATTATTTCCCCAATACTACGAATGATGCCCTGTAAACACGCACATTACAATCTTATCTAAGTTACACATTTAAGGAACATTTGCTCACTTTGTGAGACCTCACATTGGCCAGTTGCTGTGCCAGGAGCTGTGGGTATTTTGAAAAAAAGAATACAAGATGTCCCCGTTCTCAAGATCAAAGCCTAGTAAGGGAATCATGTAATCACATAAATACCATTCAACATGAAAGGTGCAATCGTAAGAGCAAGGGACCCCAAAGAATGAGCAGTCAGCTCAATTTGGGAGGCAAGAGTGGCTTTTCAGATGATGGATTTGGGGCTTAGATGGATTGGAGAAGAGCTTATTCCGTGTACGAGAGCAGTATGTGTCAAATACAGAGACATAAAACAAAATGGTTGTCTGCGGAACAGTTCATTTATGGCTGGAGTATAAGGCCCAAGGGGAAGTGGCTAGACAGAAAGCTGGTGAACTTTCTGGTAAGCATAGGCATTTGGACTTTATCACATGGGCAATGAGGAATCAATATAGGGTTTAAACAGTAGCATACGGCCAGAGCTGTATTTTGGAAAGCTCACTCCTGGCAGTATTGTGGCAGAGGCAGAGAAGAAAATCTAAAGAGTACTGTTCAACAGAACTTTCTGCAATGATGGAAATGTTCTATCATTTCTGTTGTCCAATATGACAGCCACTAGCCACATGTGGTTAACGAGAATTTGGAATGCAGCTAGTGCAACCAAGGAACTGAGGAATTTAATATTAATTTAAATAGTAACATGTGCCTAGTGGCCATGTATTGGACAGTACAGCTTTAGAGATAGAGAAATCAGTGAGGAACCTGTTGATGTAGCTCAGGTGATGGGTCTATGACAGAATGTGATTCAGTAAATACTTTAGAGGCAAAATGATAAGTCTAGTGGATATAAAGTTGTGGGGAAAAAAATCAAGAATGGGCTCCCAGAGTCCAGGCTTTGTGACTGAACAGCTCCAATTGGCCAGGATAATACAGAAGATCTAGCATGCACAGATTGCATCAATCTGGAACTTGCTGACATCTCTGAGGGTGATCCAAGTGGTAATATTTAGTAGCAAGTTTAGTTCAGGAGTCTTCTGAACTCTGTAAAGGTACACATTTGAGAGGCTTAGAGCCATTAAGTGAGATTACTCAGAGAAGATGAACAGAACTAGAAGCAAACTGAGGCAAAATCCTCACAAACATCAACCCATAGGAAGAGGCTAAAGAAGAGTCCACGAAGGAGACCAGAGAGGAGCAGTTGAGCAAGTAGGAAAAGAAACAGGTGAGACTGGTAACAGAAATCAAGGGCGTAGAGAATTTCAGGAAGTATGATCAAATGTCAAATGTCTCATAGGCCAAGTAAGGTGAGAACTGAAAAGTGCATCCCGACTTTGCCACTTAGGACGTTCTTGGTGACATCTGCCAGAACAGTGTCAATAATGGAAGAAATGGGCTGGAGTGGGAATGGGGCTGAAAGGGGAAAGTTTAGATGATATTTTCAGGTCTTGACTGTGCAGAGTAGCTCAGAGGCAAATAGTCCACAAGACAGATATTGATAAGGTTTTCTTTCCCTTTTTTTTTTTTTTTTTTTTTTTTTGAGGCTGACAAACCAGTAGAAGGGAGACGTTAAAAATGCCAATGGGAATGAAAGATACCTTTAGAATAACAGATAAGGTGGACCAGGTCTAAAGAAAAGGCATTCTCCTGCACGAGAAAATTCTCCTGCAGGTTGGCTCTTCTGTTCTGTTCTATCGGTAGAGAATAGGGGTTACGAAGATTTGAACCCACACATTGAGGGTCAAGGGGGAAATTACTGGCTATAAACAAATAAAAGGGCTGCTTTAGGTGGCAACAGAATCACCGTAACATCCTTGATTCAACATTGAGAGAATAGAGGACAAAGCCTTAGGAAAGAGTAGAAGAGTTTTTAACTTAAATGGTAGAGCGTGGTAGATCATGCAAGAAGTGCATGAATGGTAAATCAAGAAAGAAGTGAATGTGATCAGAGAGCTGGTAAGTTTTGTAGGAGGCAAGGAGAGGAGATTGGCAGGTCTCAGTGAAACGATGAAGTCTCGGTAGGTTCAGGGGAAATCAGAGGCTGTAAAGCTGCCGAACAAAATGCCCACATCCACAGTCCGCACTTCATCTCCCACCGGAGGCACCAAGGTGATAAACTCCCTTTCCCCTGGTCGAACTACTCTACACCCGGGGAAGGGCCCCACCCTGCAAGCCCTCACATCTCCAGGTCCAAGTTCCCACCGTCCTTCACGGACAACAGCCTGGCGGCGCGCGTTTCCGCTGGACTCTGTCCAGGACGAGCTAAGCGGCACTTTACACCTGCCTAAAAGGAACCAAGTCAGGCGGCCCCGGGGCGCCCTGTGAGGAGGCCGGCAACGAGGGAGGAGCCGCCGAGGCCAGAGATTTGCACGCCGCACCCGTTTCCGCTCCACCCACAGCGCGCGCTCCCAGCACAGACGAGGGAGCAGCGGTGCCTGCGGACGCATGCGCTCTGCTGCTCCCTCCCGCGGTCTCCCGCGCTCCTTTCCCCTCCCCCAGTCCGATCGCACCCTTGCGCCTGCGCAGTGGACGATCCCGGCTGCGGCAGCCATGCTGAACCCGTACGGAGAGGCTAGTGGGGGGGACAAGGTCGACGACAGCGGGATAGGAAGACGGGGATATGGAGAAGCAGCGGCATTAGAACACCATGGGTCTCTGGAGCTAGGCCAAGGCCATGGGGCCTCCTTGGTCCCTGGCGCGACCCCCAGAAACCTTCGGAAAACTGGTCCTCGTGGAGGGGGGCAAAGGGGGATGGCTGGCACGTGACCTGGGTCAGCCAATCTGGGTGTTGCTGACGTGGCGGCGCGGTCCCGATCATCTCCCCACCCCCCAGCTCCGTCGGGAAGGGAGGGGCTGGGGGTTACGCCCCCTCCCCCAACACCGCTTCAGTTTCCCGGGGGGGTGACACCCCGGATTACATCCTCCTTCCCCCTCCCCCCGCATCAAGCCGAGGGGAACGTGGGCTCCCCCCTGGAAGATTCCAGGTTCCAGGTGAGAAGGGGCCCTTGGGGGGCGGGGATGTTGCTGGTTATTTAAATGTTCAACCAATGGTGGGGAGTCGGGGGGGGGTAATTCTTGGGGTTCAGAGAAGAACCTGAGGGTGGGAGGGTTTGTCCTTCAAACAGTTTACAGCCAATGGGAGCTTGGGGGGGGGGGCAAGAGCGGGAGAGGGCCCCTCATATGGGGGAGGGGAATGGCCAACCTCATGCCTCCATACCAATTGGAGGGCAAAGGGGCGTGGGGGCGGTGTGTCCCCCCCCAAACCATTCTGCCCCTGGGGGTAGAGGAGTCCAGAGCCAGGTGAGGCTTCCTTTTGACGGCCGGAGGGAGGGGTGACCTAGTGGGCTGAGGTGTGGGAGTGGTGAATGTATTTCCTACTCTTGGGATGTGAGTGGGCAACCCGGGTTGTGAACTGAGATTGTTTCCGGGCGCCCACTCCCTTTCTCTCCAGAGACTCTGGAAGGAGCATTTCTGTGCTTTTGTGTCAGCGGTAGGAAGCTCGCAGTCATCACATGGCATGCTGGAGGTTACGCTTCGAGTCGCTTATCGAATTTGTGTGCATTCACGTGGACACGGCCTGTGGAGCCTTCTGCACAAACCTTGGTTGCCTCGGTGGGGTCTTAGCTCAGCCTGTTACCCCAGGCTGGGGAGGGCTTACAGGCCGAAAGTTTGGGGTTCGCTTGAAAGCAGAAACCCAAACCCTAGGTGGGTGCTGGGAGGGCGGTAGAAAGCGTGGTCTGAGACAGGAGGGAGTGAGGCTTAGGACCTGGAATGATTTCACAGCTCACAAGGTTTCGGGTTTCTCCAGGGTGGCGTCTTTTGCCTCCTTCGTCCCTTCCCCCATTCCCGAACAGTTCTCTCCTTGTGTACTGCGGGGGAGGGAACGGAAAGGAGGGAAGAGTTACTTTTCCAAATTCCTGACTAGCTGTTAGCCTCCCCGGTGACTCATGTGGGGGAAGGGAGGATTGGGAGGGAGTGGGGAGCAGTGATTTTCCGGAAGGCAGGAAAGTAAGCCGGAGTAAGGTCTGGCTGCCCTTTCGCTTTCGAAGACCCAGAATCTTCGCGACCTCCTAAATTTTTCTTCTCGGCTGGCCCCCTAATGGGCCTCTGCACACTTGCGAGGCCTCGGCCGGAGAGCTGCAGATTTAGGAGGCTGGGCCACTAGGGGGAGGGGAATGGGGGGGAGGGGAGAAGGCCTCTGCAAAGTTGCTGTGTCATTGCCCTCCCTGCTGCAGCCACCCGCGCCAGCCCGCATGTACTTGTGGGGCCGAAGCCTGATCCCTGCGTGGGGGAGGGCGGTAGTAACAGGGGAAGAGGCTTCCTTCCCGGTGTGCACTTCCCCCCGCAGGGTTTGCCCGACTCGGGTGGTCGAGAAGACGTGAGATTGGCGGCCATTTTAGACGCAGTAACCGAGGTTAGGGCTCCAGAGCTACTGCGAAAGGAGGGAGGGTGATGTGGTTGGAGCGCAAGGACCTAGGCCCTCACGAGCTTTTCCGGGGTGGTGGCCTCTTATGTTCGTTGATTTACATTAATTTCTTTTCTCAGATATGCAGTCTGTTTTCTATCTTGGTATCCAGAGAAGGGGAGATGGAGGGAGAGGGAGACCTCCCGCTCCAGCCCAGGTTGGGGATAATTCACTCCCATAAGGGGACGAGGGTGCGTGGGCCCAGAGATGGCTTGAGAGATCTTGGCCTCATTGTAATTCTGGCTCTTTATTCCTAAGTAGTCTAACCTTATTCAGGTAACTAGAGTGTGGGGAAGACTTGGTGGGTGGGTTGGGGGAGGGGGCGAGACTGAGCTCCCAAAATGGCTCCTGCCCCTCCTCGGAGGCGGACGGCCCAGGGGGGAGGGGAGGAGGGGAGAGAAGGAGGGGGAGGGCTAGTCTGAGCCGCTGCCGCCGCCTCCTCCGCTCGCCCTCCTCCCTGGCGCTGACCGATGGACCAGCCGCTCCGTGGGGAGGACTCCGGACCCTGGTGGGGGGGTGGGGGAGCCCTGCCGCCCCCATGGCGGTGGGACCCTAATAGGGGGGTGTGGGCCTGCCCTCGGGGTTGGGGAGGTCCGGGAGCTTGGGGAAAGGTCTGAGCTCGCCAGGAGGGGGAGGGTGTTCACCCTGATTCGCCCCTCACAGGACTTGCTTTTTCCGCTCTGAGCCAGGCACCGGAATGAAGTTTAGGGAGGAGGTGGGTTTCGATTTCTAGAGTATATCGGTATGTTTGGAGATCTTTCTCCCACTAAGGGCTGCCGGGATTTTGTCGAGCAGGCAGATACTTAATAGTTAACTGAAGGTATGAGCAGGGAGGGATTGGAGAGGTGCTTGGGTGCAAGTTTTGGGAACGTGTTCTAGATTTGGTTGTGTTGATAAGCCTTTGGGAGCCCAGATTGTTAGTGTTTTGCCTTTGTTTTTCGGTTTTTTTGAACTGGGGAAAGACGGGGAGGCTTTTAATAATGCGGCAGGCCTGTATTTTTTATTGTGGAGTATGGGAACGGTAGATCCCTTCTTTGCTACTTCTGGGAACCCTTAGTTATTTGCCAGAGAAGCAGGCCGCGCGTTCTAAGATGGCGTCTTCTTCCTCGTTTCAGATTCTTCACTGCAGCGGCGCCTCTGCCGAGAACAACAACCCGCCGGGCGTCCTGCGGCCACACCCTGGCGGGCCCAGGCTGGTTACGCCCACGCGGCCCCCTCCGGTCCGGTCGGTGTGGCCAATGGAGGAGCTACGAATGGCACGACCTGCCCGAGCTTGGCAGTCGCCGGTGGTACCGGGCTTGGACGCCTGGGAAGACTTTGTTGGAAGGGGAGGCGGGGAGAGGGTGCTGCACCCATGCCAACCTCTCTGTTTCCCTGGAGTCGCCGAACCCCAGCGCAGCCAATTGGCTCAAAGATGTGGCGGGTTGCCTGTTCCCTATGGGTCTATGCGGCACTCTTCTGCCTAGTGACTGACACCTTGGAAATGAAGCTTATGACGTCATCGCTCCAGTCAACCAATAGAAAGCGCTCCCGCGGAGAGGTGTTCCTCCCCTTTCGACTCTGCTTCTTCACGCGCGTGAGCGAGCGTGCGCGCGCGGAGGGGGTGGGGGAAATCTCGAGCACGGTGGCGCGCATGAGCGACGAAGCTCCTCCTCCCTGCCTATATATAAAGGGCTGGCGCGGGGCTCGGCGGCGCCATTTCGCGCTGGAGTGGAGCAGCCTCTAGAACGAGCTGGAGGATTCTGCCTACTGATAGAGAGCCTTCGAGTCGTCGGGGGCCGCCATTGCAATCCACGTCCATCCGTTTGGAAATGGCCTTCGTCTCGGCCTATGACCGGCCCCGGCGGACAGTGCAGACCCCATAGAAGCCCCCGACGCTCCCCTTTTTCGGGCCCCGCCCAATCCTCGGAGTCTGTCCACCCCCTCTACTCCGCCCTCAAGAGGATTTCAAAGATGGAGGCGGCGGCTCCCTAAACCACTTTTCGTGTTCATCCGCCTCCATCCGAGATCGAAACGGGACCTCGTCCGCTGCGGGCAGTCCCAGCAGGAAGAGGGGATCCTTGCAGATCAACAACGGGCAATATTGACGACGGTGTCCGGGATTGGGGGCGTCCTAGTGTTTGAGGAGTCTGTCCCCCCTCGCTCGCCCGCCTCTGCTGAGGCCGCCGCCATTTTCTCACCGTCCGCCTCCCGCGGAGCGCGCCAAGCTGCTGGGAGCTCTCCGAGAAGCAGCGAAGAAGACTGTTTTCGCGCCGGCCCGGTGGGGGGGTTATCGCCTGGAGGGCCAAGGGCAGCGGCCCTCCACCCCCCCCCCCCGCACTTCCCGGGTTATGCTGGACCGGGCGGTAAGGGGAACCGAGGCCATCCGGACTTTTCGCGGCTGAGGGCAGTGCCGGTTCCCCGTCGTCAAGATGCTGCAAAACGTGACTCCCCACAGCAAGTACGTCCCCGCGATCCGCGTGTGGGAAGGGGACGTTGGGTTGCGGCACGGGAATGTGGGACGTCGGGTTCGGAGGGAGGACGGAACCGACTCTGGCGCGATGCTGTTTCGCGGCGCGACTGTTAGCTCTCGGGGGCTCGCGGGGGGGGGGGGGGGGGGTTGGGTGGGGGTTTGGGAACGGTGGTAGACGGCCAGACACTGGCGTATGGCGGGAGTATAGGTTGTCCATTTATACGTTAGTTTTCCCGCCGTGGTCCAATCGTGATGTAGCCCGGCAGAGCTAGGTTGGCAGCGTAATGTAATGGGAAAAGACGACGTTGAGTGGGTTGCCGGTCCTGCGGGTGGTGGGTCTGTCGTCTAACAACGGTTTGTCATAGGTCTTTTGGGGTGTTTCGTGGCCACATCTGATCTATAGGGTTGCCATGGTGATAGAGCCTCAGCCTGGCTACGGAGATTCCCACAGTAGGGTAGAGGCATTACTTTTGGCTATGGGTTGTTCTGTCCAGACTAGGTCATTGAATTTGTCTTTTAAGTGACCGGGTTAGTTTTGGGTCGGGGGTTTGCGTGCGTTTTGTTTGGAGGGGATGTTTTTGATAGCTTTGAGAGTTTCGTTTGGGCAAGAGGGTGGAGCTAAGGATTTTTTAGTCCAGCTCTGCGGATGTAAACAATGAGATCTCGGTGTAATGTCTCCAGTCTTAGGTCCTAGGGAAACACCGGGTCCTGAGGAGTACCAGAGAGTGTAAATTTGAATCGCTCTTGGCCCCTGATTTCCAGAGTCTGGTGCTAGAGTGGGAGCCGTTAATTTTATTTTTTTGGCGGGGTCAGGCGTGTTCTATCACTCTTGGGCTGGAACTTGCTGACCTTGACTGGGGATTGGGCAGGCTCTGTATTTGAGTTCTTTGGGGGAAAGAGATGAATTTGAATAATTTCTGGGGTCTGGTGGCTGTGTTTTTCCAGCTGTGAAGTCTGACAAATGCTCCCTTCCTTGTCGGAAATTTTAAGTTGGTAAGGTTTTCCGTTAGATTTTTGGTTCATTTTCTGCTTTAAACTAAGCAGAGCTTTTCTGGGGAGGATGGTGATCTCTTGTGCCCAGATAGATGGATTCTTAGGTGTTTCATCAGCATTTTATGAAATTTTCTCCCTGTTTTGTTCCCTTCCTCTTTTCTCTTTTCACCCGTTTCCCTCAGGTTCCTACCACCATGGCAACCACCTAGCCCCTAGTGAGGAGGAAGCTTGGGTTTTGAGCTTCTCAGCCCCACCCATTTTGCTTAAGTCCCATCCCCTAAAGCTTGTGGTGTTCAAATGCTATGCTGTGCTTTATCAGAAACCATTGGGAAGGTTGGGTTTTTTTTTTCTTTTTTTCCTCGCTTAAGTGGAAGTGCAGATGATAAAAGAGTTTTTCAAGAGTCCAGAAGGTGGGCTGGGAATAGGTGTACTAAAAATGGAGGAACTGGAAGTGGGGGGAGGTGGGGCAAGAACAAAAGCTCCACAGACTGTTTGGATATTGGTTGTGGTTAAGAATAATTTCCATAAGTTTGATTACCTCTCACTAAGTTTCAAGCCTGGATTTATTGGGTGTATCGTGTAACTGGCTGTACTGGGTTTTGTTTGGTTTGGTTTTTTTTCCATGAAATTACCACATCTAATTATGTTTCCCATTTCACAGGCTCCCTGGGGAGGGGAATGCAGGGTTACTGGGGCTGGGCCCAGAGGCAGCAGCACCAGGGAAAAGGATTCGAAAGCCCTCCCTGTTGTATGAGGGATTTGAGAGCCCCACAATGGCTTCAGTGCCGGCTTTACAACTGACCCCTGCCAACCCACCACCCCCGGAGGTGTCCAATCCCAAAAAGCCAGGACGGGTTACCAACCAGCTGCAGTACCTGCACAAGGTGGTGATGAAGGCTCTGTGGAAACATCAGTTTGCATGGCCTTTCAGGCAGCCTGTGGATGCAGTCAAACTGGGTCTGCCGGTGAGTAGGGATGGGATATTGGAGTGGGGGGAGGTATTGGGAATGAAAAAGAATGTGTGTGAATGGAGGTGGGCTGCTTAGTGTAGGTGCTGCGGCCCCTAGGGAGTTCCCATCTCTCTCCTGTAGGGCAGATAGCCACCAAATTTCTGGATTCTTGGTCCTTTGTGATTATTGATCCAACAGCTTGCTATCTTGGCATCTCTCATTGTGCCCTCCATGTGTCCTTCCTTAACTTTTGTGCCCTGGCTCCATTTTACAGATTCCCACCCCAGGTTGGGAGAGGACCACGGTGGCCAAAATTCTTAGCTTCTTCCTCTCCCTCATGCAGCCCATGGATAGCCAGCCCCAGAGGTAATGTCACAGGATGGGAAACCTTCCAGAGTTGGGAGGGAGGTGGGTGGTTAGAGAAGGGCACTAGGGGCCTCCCAACGGGTGCTAAGAATCCCATTCCATTATTTTTCTGTCCTTAGTTTAATTGGGGCCGCAGTTTAGGGGACTACATACTTTGATGCATAGGGGGTGTGTATGTGCGTGTTTGCTGGGGTCAGTGGTTTGCCTAGGAAAACCAGCATTTATTTTTTGGTGGTTCTGACCTAGCATTTCTTTCTTTAGGATTATCACAAAATAATAAAGCAACCTATGGATATGGGTACTATTAAGAGGAGACTTGAAAACAACTATTACTGGGCTGCCTCAGAGTGTATGCAGGATTTTAACACCATGTTCACCAATTGTTACATCTACAACAAGGTGAGTTTTTCTGTGTGTTTATTAGTGGATGGAGAGAGAATGATTCTGATATTGCTAGATATTTTGCTGGCATAATGTTTGTTTTTTACCGTGGAAGGTATTTTCAGAGTAGGGAGGATCTAGAAAATCTGAACTCTAAAGGATACCACTGAACACAAGTGGCGTGGCTTCAGAGATCTAGTGGTAAAGGTTATTTAAGTAGAACATTTTCATACTTGGGGATGGTGGCCCTGTTTCTCAAAGAGAAACCTCCAGAGAGCTGAGTAGAGCAGAATCTATTCTCCTTGACGTTCTCATTCCCTTATTTTTTGAATTTTTTTCTTTACCGTGTTTTGAGGGACAGAATTGGGGAAGAACATGGAAATAAGTGGCCCAGTGTAGGTAATTTTCAGTACTTGATGACAGAGATGTCTGTCTGAGCAGGTGGGTAGTTTTGATACTTGGGGCTAGGAATTCCTCTCAGGAAAATGGTTTGTCTTTAGCTGGCATTTGAACCTTTCTGTTTGTGTTCCCTGTAGCCCACTGATGATATTGTCCTGATGGCACAAACATTAGAAAAGATCTTTCTACAGAAAGTAGCATCGATGCCACAAGAGGAACAAGAGCTTGTGGTGACCATCCCTAAGAACAGCCACAAGAAGGGGGCCAAATTGGCAGGTAGGAAGAGTGGCAGGCAGTTTTGCTAATGGAGACCAAAAGACAGAGAAGGTAATAGAACTAATCTTTTTTTTATTACTTTTTTTTTTTTTTTCTTTTAGCACTCCAGGGCAGTATTACAAGTGCCCATCAGGTGCCTGCTGTTTCTTCTGTGTCTCACACAGCCCTATATACTCCACCACCTGAGATACCTACCACTGTTCTCAACATTCCCCATCCGTCGGTCATCTCTTCTCCCCTTCTCAAGTCTTTACACTCAGCTGGACCCCCGCTCCTTGCAGTCTCTGCAGCTCCCCCAGCCCAGCCCCTTGCCAAGGTAACAGATCTGTGGAGTTCTTTTGGGCGTTGGGAAGGGAAAGGACTCGAATGAGGTGGACCCTGGGGTAAAAGGCTCCCATCTTGTGTTTTTTTTTCTGCAGAAAAAAGGCGTAAAGCGGAAAGCAGATACTACCACACCTACTCCTACAGCCATCCTGGCTCCTGGTTCCCCAGCTAGCCCCCCTGGGAGTCTGGAGCCTAAGGCAGCACGTCTTCCCCCTATGCGTAGAGAGAGTGGCCGCCCTATCAAGCCCCCACGCAAAGACTTACCTGACTCTCAGCAACAACACCAGAGTTCCAAAAAAGGAAAGCTGTCAGAACAGTTAAAACATTGCAATGGCATTTTGAAAGAGTTGCTCTCTAAGAAGCATGCTGCCTATGCCTGGCCTTTCTATAAACCAGTGGACGCTTCTGCTCTTGGCCTGCATGACTACCATGACATCATTAAGCACCCCATGGACCTCAGCACTGTCAAGGTACCCACTGCATGGGGCAGATGGGATGCTCAGGCAGTGATTGGAACTTTGGGCTCAATAAAACAATCAGTCATTTATGGGCATACAGCAGTCTTGATTCTTGGTATTTTATTTTTTACAAAATGGTAATGGAGCAGAAGGCTAAGTACTTGATAATTGAGTTTGTATTTCTTGGAGTTTCAAACTGTATGGTGAGTTCTGTCTTTAGATCAATCCTATCCATGTCCGTTTAAGTCCTACTTTGGAGCATTGGGTTAGGGGAGTATGGGGTTGGAAGGATAGTCAGAGGCCACTCACCCCTATCACTTAGAAATGGTTTTTTTTCTAGATGTAGACATTTCTTCAACCCACCCAAATTTCTTTGACTTCAAACTTGAACCCCAGGGCATAGATCTTTAAGGTCATCCCTATTGTGCTCTCAAGAGAGGGCTACTCTTGTGGTGTCTGGGGTTGGCAGGGAAAGGTGAGTCTCCCTGCCTGTGCAGCTTCTGATGCTGCCTCCTTCTGCAGCGGAAGATGGAGAATCGTGATTACCGGGATGCACAGGAGTTCGCTGCTGATGTGCGGCTTATGTTCTCCAACTGCTATAAGTACAATCCCCCAGACCACGATGTTGTGGCCATGGCACGAAAGCTGCAGGTGAGTGGCACAGTTGAAATTTGAAGAACAAATGGGTCTGGGCAGAGGTTTTGTCATTTGCTACACAACCTCATTATGAGGATCTTTCAGTATGCATTGTTAACAAACTGGAACTATACCAACTACATCACTAATTGGCTGGGTATAATCAGGGCACAATTTGCTGACTGAGTGGAGTCTGCTTGGAATTCTCTTTCCTCTCTGCCCCTCTCTCACGTGTGCCTTCTCTCTCAAATATACTCAAAAAAATACCAGGGCACAATTCACTAGCATGGTTTTGAATGTGCTTTTTTACTCCTAGGATGTATTTGAGTTCCGTTATGCCAAGATGCCAGATGAACCACTGGAACCAGGGCCTTTACCAGTCTCTACTGCCTTGCCACCTGGGTTGGCCAAATCCTCTTCAGAGTCCTCCAGCGAAGAAAGTAGCAGTGAGAGCTCTTCTGAGGAAGAAGAGGAAGAAGATGAGGAGGATGAAGAGGAAGAAGAAGAGAGTGAAAGCTCAGACTCTGAGGAAGAAAGGGCTCATAGATTGGCTGAACTACAGGAACAGGTATTTTGTCACTATAATCAGTTTCTTTTGTAAGACATTGGTGCCCTGTTTTTGCCCGTTTTTTCCTCTAACTCCTTTTGATTCTACTTTATTTTTCCCATGGTGCACCTGATTCTTTTTTCTCCAGCTCCGGGCAGTACATGAACAACTGGCTGCCCTGTCCCAAGGCCCAATATCCAAGCCAAAGCGGAAGAGAGAAAAAAAAGAGAAAAAGAAGAAACGGAAGGCAGAGAAGCATCGCGGCCGAGCTGGGGTTGATGAAGAGGACAAGGGAACTCGGGCACCTCGCCCATCTCAGCCCAAGAAGTCCAAGAAAGCAAGTGGCAGTGGGGGTGGCAGTGCTGCTACACTAGGTCCCCCTGGCTTTGGACCTTCTGGAGGAAGTGGCACCAAGTAAGTTCTGAGAGGGTGAGAAGCAGAGATGGGCTTGGCTATTTCTGTAATCTCCAGGGGAGGATGCTTTCTCCCACTCCTTGCCGAGTTTTATCTAACCCAGAGGGCAGCACAGCTTTTCTGTAAGTGGTCAGGTGTAACAAACAAGATTTTTGTCTGGTGTCACGCAGAAGCAGCAGCCAAAGACCACATGGAAGCACGGGTATGACTGCGCCAATAAAAGTTTACTTGCACAAAACAGTTGGCAGGCCTGATTTGTTCCCTAGTTTGTCTGTTCCTTTTCTCCATACCAGTCTATACAATTCTTGTTTTCCGCAGTGGTGTGTGTTAGTAGCGTTTTAGGGCGCAAAAAGATGGATTCGGGCCAGTATACCAATGTCTAGTTCTCAAAGCCCAAATTAAACGTAAAATGCTTGGCCTGTATAATTCCGAAAGAGAGGGGCGCCTGGGTGGCGCAGTCGGTTAAGCGTCCGACTTCAGCCAGGTCACAATCTCGCGGTCTGGGAGTTCGAGCCCCGCATCGGGCTCTGGGCTGATGGCTCAGAGCCTGGAGCCTACTTCCGATTCTGTGTCTCCCTCTCTTTCTGCCCCTCCCCCATTCATGCTCTGTCTCTCTCTGTCCCAAAAATAAAATAAAAAACGTTGAAAAAAAAAATTTTTTTTTTTTTTTTAAATAATTCCGAAAGAGAGTTTGGATTACTGAATTGGACAGTGGGAATGTGTTGGGAGTTAGTGATGCTTCCCTAATTGACAATTTTTTTTTTTTTGCTTGTAGACTGCCCAAAAAGGCCACAAAGACCGCTCCACCTGCCCTGCCTACAGGCTATGATTCAGAGGAAGAAGAAGAAAGCAGACCCATGAGTTACGATGAAAAACGGCAGTTGAGTTTGGACATCAACAAATTACCTGGGGAGAAACTGGGTCGAGTTGTGCACATAATCCAGGCCAGGGAGCCTTCTTTACGTGACTCAAACCCAGAAGAGATTGAGATTGATTTTGAAACCCTCAAGCCATCCACGCTTCGAGAGCTTGAGCGCTATGTCCTTTCCTGCCTAAGAAAGAAACCTCGGAAACCCTATAGTGAGTATGAAATAAATTGTACCACATTAATCTAGTAATCCTCATGTAGTTGGAGAAGGGGTAGTGAGCTGGGTATGCTTGATGCACTCATGATTGTCCACTTCCAGGGAGGCGGGATATGTTTGTCACTTCCTGCTCTTCAAGAAAGGAACTTGAGAACAACACTAGGTGCACTACAACTAGATACTTGCAATCTTAGGCCTGATATGTTTCTTTTTCTAGCCATTAAGAAACCTGTGGGAAAGACAAAGGAGGAGCTGGCTTTGGAAAAGAAGCGGGAATTAGAAAAGAGGTTACAGGATGTTAGTGGGCAGCTCAATTCCACCAAAAAGCCCCCCAAGAAAGGTGAGTATCCTGAAAGCTAGCACAAATTTGCTATATTCCCCTCTAGTCTTCTTGATAAATGGAGATCAGACTTCAACTCTTTAACCTTCAACCTTATTCTGCAGCAAGTGAGAAAACGGAGTCCTCATCGTCGGCACAGCAAGTAGCAGTGTCACGCCTCAGCGCTTCCAGCTCCAGCTCAGATTCCAGTTCCTCCTCTTCATCGTCCTCTTCTTCAGACACCAGTGATTCAGACTCAGGCTAAGGGGCCAGGCCAGATGGGGCAGGAGGCTCCGCAGGACCGGACCCCTAGACCACCCTGCCCCACCCTTTCCCCCCCTTGCTGTGACACTTCCTCATCTCATCCCCCTCCCCCCCACTGTAGGAGAGCTGGCTCTGCACGGGGGAGGGGTGCAGGGACATTTACTGAAGGAGGGACATAAATGGACAAAATAAGATTTGAGTTCCCAGCCACATTGAGAGTGACCTCTTGGGCTTAGAGCCCCATTCAAAATGACTGGGGTGGGGCAGGGGTACAGGGTGGGAGTGGGCAAAGGCCCTGATACGGGGTTACCTGAGGCCATAGCTGCCCTGTTCACTTGTAAAGGCCCTGTTTTGAGGTTGTTTGTTCTAATTTATTTTAAGCTAGGTAAGGCTGAGGGGTGTGGGGCCATGGTCCCCTCAGCCTCCATGGGGAGGGAAAAAGGGGGAGCTCTTTTTTTACGTTGACTTTTTTTTTTTCTACTCTGTTTTCCCTTCTGCTCCATTTGGGGCCCCTGGGGGTTTCAGTCATCTCCCCATTTGGTCCCCTGGATTGTCTTTCTTTGTCTGTTGATTCTAACTTGTAAATAAAGAAAATATTATTCAAATTTTGAGTTCCCTTAATAGCGTTTGCTTTTGTAGTGTTACAAAAGGAGCATGATCTAATTGAGAAATCTGAGGAAAATATTCCTGAGGTGACAAAACAGAAGAGCCCTCCTGTAGTTGGATTGTCTCTTAGTTTTTAAACCAGGTTGGCTGTTCCTGTGGTAAATTCATCTGCTTTTTGTAAAGTAATCCTTGGAAATAATCTTCATAGGTTTAGAACTCAAGATAGGTTCTGAGGTTTTCCTCTTTAGTGCTCTATGTGGATTATTTCCTGAACACACAAACCAAATGTAAACGGAATGGATGGTAGCCAATGGCAGGTATTTTTTTGTATCCTGCATCTGACTTGAGAAGGCAGTTGTGCTTGCTTTTGAAATTTTCTCCTTACCCTCAAATTCCAGATTTACAGAGCCCTGCAGTTTATTAATAAAATGCAATCCAGCAATTTTTGCCAAATTCAGATGATAAAAACTCATCTTCAGGGCACCTGGGTGGTTCAGTCAGTTGACCATCCAACTTCAACTCACATCATGGTCTCCTGGTTCATGGGTTCAAGCCCCATGTAGTCCACTTCAGATTCTGTCTCCCTTTCCGACCCTTCCCCACGTGGCATGCACTACTCTACGGCCCCCCCCCCCAAAAAAAAAACAATAAAAAAACTAAACCTCCGTAAATGTAATGCCCTCTCTTAACGAGAGACTGTGTATATAGTTCAGGGTACTGTGATACATGGGTTCTGGAACTGGGGACTAACCACAAAAGTAAAAGACCTTTATAGCTTAGTTTATCAGACCATCATAGCAAACTTGATGTAAGGTCTGGATGTTAATGTAGAGAAAATGGTCTATTCTGCCATAAGTGTTGCCAGAAACAAGGTGTAGGGTATAATCTGGTTTGGAGAAGGTAGAGAAGATTTTGGAAGCAAATTGAACTATAGCAAGGGGTTTTCCACCCTTACCACCTACTAAGTCTCCAGTAAAGCTTTCTTAAAATACTGTAATAATTTCGGGATACTGTCTTTATGAATTCTCATTAAATTGGGGTTTGGGCAATGTTTGGAAGTTCAGGAGACAGTGATGCACAAGTTAGGGTTGAGAACCACTTTTTAAGATTTTTGGAAAGCCCCTAGTTTAAAGGAGAGGAGACCCCTGATTTGGCCTTTAGCCAACTTAATTGTGGAACTCAGTAACTCTGGATTTCTTTGAGCTCTGGTCGTCATGAAGAGTGATAGAAAAGATTTGGGAAATTTGGACACTTGTTTTTTAATGTTTATTGTGAGAACATGAGCAGGGGAAGGACAGAATCCCCAGCAGGCTCTCGTGCTCCTGGTGTGGAGCCTGACATGGGGCTTGATCTCATGAACTGAGATCATGACCTGAGAGCCAAAATCAAGAGTTGGAACTTAACCAAGTGAGCCACCCAGGCGCCCCTGGACATACTTTTTTATTGGCTTATTTTTGAGAGGAAGTGGGGGAGGGGCAGAGGGGGAGACAGAATCCCAAGCAGGTTCCATGCTGTGCTGTCAGTGCAGAGCCCAACATGGTGCTTGAACCACGAGATCATCACCTGAGCCAAAATCCAGAGTAGGACACAACTGATAGAGCCACCCAGGAAGCTCTGAATGTTCTTAATAAAGTTTGTTGTGGAGGTAGGATAGGAATTAAGTCTAAGAAGGAATAAATAAACATTGAGATGATGCATGTCTATATGTGCAAGATTACATCTTGTTTCAAAAATACAAGGTTTGAGTTGGATTAGTTTGGGGGAGGCTAGTTGCAGAATCTTAAGGCAGTATGGCTGCATCCCCTTCTGTGCATGTACTCCTAAGACTTTTATTATAGTCTGGGAAAATGAATTTTAACCATCGAAAGGTGAGTTTCCAACGTAGTGTCTTTGGTGGTACCTTAGTATACCTCAACCTAAATTGAGAACACCACTAAAGGCAGTTAAGCAAAGGTGAGGGAGCTCATTGCCTGGGTTGCAGAACAGCCAGGGATAGACCTGCGTTAACACCTCCCACCCTGCCACATTGGGCCAAGTGCAAATGTGTATGGATTTCCCAAGACTCAGGTTTTTGATAATCCTTGCTGTGGTCCCTGACCTTTGCTTCAGTTTGGGCCATTCTGTCCTTTGATTTACTTTTAACCTTAGATTAATTTACTGATCTAAGCCCCAGGTGTCCTCTATCCCATAGTACCCTTTCAGCATGTTATTAAATTTCAGGAGTCAGATTGAGTGCTACCTTGGTTGAAATTCCTGTCTTCCAGCATAACCAATCTCCAGCCTGACTAAAGGGACACAAACGTGGAGCCTTCCTGTGGGTGTTCCTCCCGTGCTCTTCCCAGTTCTTGAAGCCATGGGTTCTACTGCCTCTAATGGCTCCTGTGGGAGCTTTTATTCAGTCAACATTTTCTGGACTCCCCGGCTTGCCTCTTATTTTTCAATAAACTATTAGGTCAATAGACCTAGACACTGCCAAAGTCGGGTGATGTGGGGTGAAAATAGAGAACAAGCCCTGCCTGCCTTCACGAAGCTTGCTCTGTCAATAGAGTTGAATTACTAACTCTCATGGTACATGGTGCTGATGGGCTCCAAGATAAGGGCATGACAGTCGTCCCAGACACTTAATCCTTACTGTACGCCACTGGTAGGGAACTGATCTGATGTCTCGATGATCTCACATCTTTGCTTCTTTCCCCTTTCCTGGATCATAAGCTTAGTTCAAGCTCTGCAAAATCCTGCTAGCTGATCTCCAGCACTGAATGGGATAGCTTGCTGACCCCCTAGTTTATGGGGGTGGGGACAACATTAGGCAACAAATGAGGTTGGTTTTTTGGTGTTTTTTTTTTTAATGTTTGTTTTTGAGAGTGCAAGCAGGGGAGGGGTGGAGAGAGGGAGAGGATCTGAAGCAGGTTCCGCGCTGACAGGCTGACAGCAGGGAGTCTGATGTGGGGTTTGAACTCAAACCGCAAGATCGTGACCTGAGCTGAAGTCGGATGCTCAACAAACTGAGCCACCCAGGTGCCCCCAATCACAGTTTTTAAGAAAAACCGTAAGTACTTCTAGCCCCACAATATGCAAAGATTTGTAAAAAGCCTAGAGGGTGTTTATCTGAGAGATCTCTAAGCTCAGATCCATTCTGACATCTCAGAAGGATGAGAAGTGTTGTGCTGTTTCCAGGAGGAGGGGAAACAGGCAGAAAGAACATTGCCCGCAGAAAAAATAGTGGAGATAAACTGCAGAATGCTGAAGCAGCATGAATGAAAGGGTGAGTGCTTCCAGATAAGACCAGAAGGCAGAGCTAGACCAACAGGCAGAGCATTTAGGCCACAATAAAGATGTGAAATTTTATCCTAAAGGCTTTAATTATAGCTCACATTTATTGAACACTCACTATGCCAAACGGTATACTGAAAACAACTCATTTTGTCTTCATTATGTCCGATGAAGTAAGTCTAATCTCCATTTAACAGATGAAGAAATGAGGCACAGACGGCTTAAGGAACTTGCCCGACGTTGCAGCATGAGCTAGTGAGTGCTGAGGTGGGAATCGAACCCAGCAATCTCTGGCTCCAGGAACTACTACCCTCGAATTCCAATACTGTGGGCTGGTGAGGTGCCAGGAGACACATCTTTTGAATAAATTGCAGCAGGAAGAACCATGTTGGGTGGGTGGGGCATCGAGAAGGAATGAAGAGTGATTATTCAGAAAGCAGTTCCTATAAGAAGATAGAGGTTTGGAGTGGAGAGACGGCAATGTAGGTGAAGAGAGTGGAAAAATGTGAAAACTATGTAGGAGATAAAAATGGATGGGATCGTTCTCCACACACCACAGGAAGAGCAGAGTCATGGAAGTTTGATAGTTCGTTGACTAAAGGCATGCCACCTGGCTGGCTGGCAGGAGTGAAGGAAACCAACAAGGCTGCCCCAGCAGCTGGAGTTCAGAGGCACTTGTTGCCAGTCACGGAGGGTCTTTGGCGCCCCCTGGTGAGCATGATACCCATGACTTACTCCTGGATATTTCAGGTATTCTTGTGGCCACCCTCCCCTCTTTCTGTTCTTTCCTTCTTACTTTCCTATACTTCAGGTCTTGAAACATGAACTACACCTTATGACACAGAGGTCCTTGTCTCCTTTGACCTCTGAAGCATCCCATGTGGCTTCCCCTGGCTCTCCTACTTTTCAGACAGCTCCTCTTTTCTTCTCAAAAGCCTACCTCAGCCAACAACTGAGAAGTTATTGTCCCTCACATTACCTCGCTTGGTCCTCTTCTCCTTTATTTGCACAACATTTCTAGGCAGTTTTACCCATTCTTCTGGAGGCAATTCCCACCCATAAAATCTGTTACTGTCCAGATCTTGCTCCAAAGTTCCAAGTCTGTTCTCGGCTGCCAAATGA